AATATTAATTATTACGACCCTCTTACCTACAAATAGGGCTACCGAAATTCCACATTCCACTTATAGTGCTGATTGCATTTTATTGATTTTACTTCTCTAAACCGGAATTTTGACTCTCATTAGGAGGCATATATTTTGGTATCTCATGTAACTTTGTCGATCGCCCTTAAGATAACTGATTAGCTTTAAATCCAAATTTTCGTTGTATATAAGTGTCTTCTCATATTGATGAATATGATTTTTCCTCATCATTTTCCTATGCTTATTATCGCCTTTCTATCAAATTTTACACCTGTTTGCTTATTTCCCAGGTCACCTGGTCCCATAGTCTCTTCTCAGGTTTGCTCCGGTCATTCTCATTACCCGCTTCCTCCGGCTGGGTCTAAACGCAAGCGTGACTTCTCCCGATTTTCGTTCTTCGCTTCACCTGATGACATTAATAGTTTTTCTCTCAATAACCCCTGTCCACAACCATCCGGTGGTCACTATGCTCAGGTGGAGTCTTCCCACACAGCTAGAACGTATCCAGTCCATATAAATGGGGGCTTATCAAATCTTCCTGATTCTGGTCGTTCAGGCCCTTACTCAGTCTTCTCTATTCCCTTGAATCTTCAGTCCGGAACTCCAATCTTCCCCTCCAACTTCAATTTCACTTCTGACTCCCCTGCTCCTCTCCCCTTCATTTTAGAGAACGGTTTCGGCCATTCTCCAACTTTGGGTTCGACCCGTTTTCCAACTGGCAAGCCAAGTATAGCTCGGGCTTTAATCGATCAAGAGGCTACAAGCCGTGGGCAGCACCAACCATCAGAGCCATTTCGGTCAGCTGGATGCCATCGCAATCGTTTGCAACTAGCTGCTTGTACAGAGCACTGCACAGTTGTGGCTACCAATGTAGCCTGCAGGGAGACAATTGACTCGGCCAGTGGAGATAGTAGAAATGGAAGCAGCACGTATAGCTCCGACACGGCAGGATCCAAAGATACTTCTCCCTCTCCAGATGCTAGGCTGTCTTTAC